TTTTTTTTTTAATTTAAATAGAAGTAAAAACAAAACGAAAGAGGAGAGGAGGAACATGACATCTCTGGGGGGAGGATAAAAAAAAAAAAAAAAACAAAACACACACACAATTTTTCTTTTCCATGAGGTTTCCTGAAAACTGGTGCTCACCAGCTTCAGAATAGGCAAGAACTCATTTTTTCCTGGACTTCCTTATTCATTCCCGCAGGTTGAGCGAGTTGACCCCACCGGTCAAGCAGAAGGTCCGTTTCCCTTGAAGGTCTGTTTTCCTTGCTCCCTGCGCAACGCTAGGGAGCTTCCACGGGCTCTGAGCCCACGTTCGCGCCAAGGCGGTTAGATCTACTGCCTCTGAATTCGCTTGCTGGTCAGAGCGGGACCCGCCAGACTCCACGGCTCAGAACTGAGCAAATCACTGCTGGCTTCACAACTAACAGAATAACTTTGTTTCCAATCAAAAAAATCCATCTCTACCGTGTGATGCATTTCGGAACAGATGCAACCTAAAAGAAGCTAGAAATGACCATGGAGACAAAGTCTCAGCAAACTTTACTTGTTTTTGCTGGTTAGGTTCCACACATTTTTTTCATTTTTTTTCCTATTAATTTTTTAGAAAAACACGTTACAACAAAGAGGCTTGTTGTATCCGGCATACCCAAGTCCCATTCTAGTCTTTCACCCATAAGGCTGCCTTTGAAAACAAGGCTATATGCGTGAATGGGGGAAGCTGGGCAGCCCTCTGAAGCGTGGGTTCAGCACATAATCCCTTTAAATCGGAGCCTTCGGCCAACATCTGAAGTCTCCTGAAAGACCCTATGTCTTTGTGCTTAGTTACCTTTAGGTAATTTGAAGTCACAGTAGGCATGAACCAGTCTGCCACTAGGCGGTAGGACTGGTTGAGAAGTAGTAGCTCTGTATAGGATCATCGTATTTTTGGCTTTCTGGTAAGGCTACCTCATCTAGTAGCCTCTCCCTTAGCAACAGATTTGCTTGTATGGTCCAGAGCAAACTAAGTGGCTCAAGGTCCAAAAGGTATCCAGTCTCACTTTGAGCTTAGTAGTTTTGAAGCCTTTTTCCATTACATTCAAAAAAGTCTCATGAGCCACTTTGCCTTTTGCTAATAATGTGCCAAATCTTTGTACTTTACTCAGAAGAACGGAGTGCTCAGTCCAAGCAACTGTAAATATATTTACACTTCTGTGGACCAGGCAGCTCACTACTCTTTCCTTCCTTTAAAACATCAGTGGAATCAAGAATAAACTTCAGCAAAGTGTACAGCAAAATACTGCTGAAAGTTGTGAGAAGAAAAGTAACTTTCACAGCCACCCCAAACTCTCTGTACATACAGTTTCCATCAGTCCCAGGAAGGACTGCAAACATCAGTGATGTTCTGTAAAATCCATAAATGAATTTGCCTTTTATTTTGTTCCTCAAAGAGCGACTTGCAGAAATTTTACCATTAGAAAAAAAAGTCAGTCTTCATTCACTAAGATCAGTATTGTACCTCTCCTCTTCTGGAAGGGTTGCCTTCACCTCTCAGTTTAGAGCAGACTGCAGGCTGCTCATGCATTAGGGGATAATTCAAGCACGTTAGCCTTGCGTCTCATTTTTGGAGGTCAGACACTTCTGTTACGGACTCCCTGTGTTGGTGCAGAGAGCACAGTATAGTCACTCAGCAACAAAACCTTCCTGCCCAACAAGGCTAAGCTTAGCACAGTACGAGTGCCACGTGGAAGGCACCACCAGGTTTCTAAAGCTATGATGTGCAAAACAGAGACTATACAATGCATATAAAAATAAGATGAGCAAGAACATAAATCCTCAACAGGTCATCTAAGGGGTATTTCCTTCTGCCCTCCACAGAAATAGTACACGAAGAGCTCCACTGAAGAGCTCTTTTTCTGGTACCAAAGACATTTGGAAGATACCACCGCCTTCCTTCTGGGCTTCAGCTTTCTCAAGTCTTACAGTGAGTGGCTATGGCAGAGGACAGCACAAATCCCTGAAGCCCAATTTAAATTTTGAGTCACAGCAGCTCCTGCTAGCGAAATAGTTATCATCTAGAGCCAAGGTTCAGCCATCAAGCTACACAAAATTCAGTTCTGAAGAAACAGAGCAACAAAAGCAGCACATGAGCCCATTTCAAGTCGTGCCAGTACAAGACAAACAGATACAAGCCCAGTTGCGTCATCTGCCACACAGAGAGAAAGAGCAACTTGAAACAGAATCAAGTAGAAACACCATCCGTCAAGATAAAGTCCCAATTATCCCTTTTATATCCAGCAATAGAGTGCATTTTTTCCCAAGAAACAGAGTGTACAGTACCAGTGTGCAGCATAAAAAACATTTCACAAATAATGAAAACATCCCTTTTGAAAATCTCAACTAAAATAGATCCCATTGGGACCAGTCCGTCAGTGCCTCCCAAAACAAGGCAGAAAAAGCCAGCCTACAGGGCGTGCCAAAGGTGACCAGGAAGTACCCCAACTAACCTCTGAAACTGCCGACTGTTTCATTTACGAGTATGATATGTGTATTTAGAACTCCAGGTGCATGTTAACAAGTTCACTAAATTACCCTTTAAGCTCTGTTCTCTCCCGACGCCTACTTTAAAGACCTCTGTCAGTCCACGGGGAAAGGTGGAAGCAACATCTCCGGGCTATGCAGGTCCCTTCAGCTGGGAGTCAGCTTCTTTTGGCCAATGCAGGAGAATTCTGAAAAACCTTGAAGGACGACAAACGTGATCCATGAGCATCCTCTTCCAGCTCCTAACTTCTCTGCTGGTCAAATTTCTCAAGACAAAAAAGGCTGACAGCAAAGCAACGGTGTTTCTTTCAAATGTTTGTTCAGGCCTAATGGCTTAGCACTCAGTTGGCATCAGGAGAACGGAGCACAAGAGGATGACCTAAGTACAACTTCAATTTAACTTTATTTTCAGACTCTACTTATAATTTGGGAGGAAAACTGGTCTAGTCACCCACTCCTTCCCCGTCCCTCACCCAAGAATACTGAGCTAGTAAGCAGTTTGTCAGGCATTTACATTTTCATTCCGGAACGGAAAAACAACTCTTTGTATTTTAGCACTCCTGCCTCGACCAGGCAGTTATTCCAAGAGGCTTACAACACAAGGAAATCAAAAGCGGCTTTGCTCACGCGGTGGATGCACAGACTGTGCAAACCCAGTTCTTAGCTTACAGAGTGCCTCCTCATCGAATCCTACAGCTCACAGCATCAAACCAACCAGTCCTATCAGGCCTCAGAGGAGCTTGAATCCATCCCTTTGACCAGACTAACCACTGTTTGTCAGAAACTAAAGTGTCTTTCCTAAAGAAATTCCTACAGCGAGCACTTTTCTAGCTCACAGGTCTTTGTATGCTGGGGGCTTTCTGCAGAAACCTAACTGACGGGGAGAAAGGACATGGGAGGTGCATACTTCCTAGCTGCACACACAAAGCTCCAGCCCATGCTCTCCAAACGCGCGTGAGAATAGGCAGAGCAGATGAATGCAAGGCATTTGAAACCGAATGCTTATTTGAAGCAGATCTCAAGCCTGACGCAAGTTTCCCACAACGTGGATGGAAAGTAGGTAAGCTCTGTTACTTAAAGTGTGTAAAGCACAGGTCCAAAGCTAGTGGCTGACTGGGTTTTATTACCCTGGAAAATTAAAATTAGCAATCCATCACCACCGCGGGTCTACTGATGGAACTAGCTGGTCCTTTTTCTTCCCTCTCTGCCCCTCCAAAGGCGGCACACAAAAGCAAACAAACAGAAAAACCTCCTTCTTCAGTCTGATCCTGAGTAACACTAAACAGTTTAAAAAAAAAAAGTCATGCTCCTAATATAGTTTCCAGCATGAAAACACGGGTAGAGCAGGCCTCTATTGATTGCAGTTTTCTTAGTGTATACTCCAAACAGGCGTGCGTTCAGGTAGCAAAGCAAAGAGCTGCTGCCAGGCTCTGTGTACGCAGCCCAATTAACTGTTACGAGGAAAAGGAAGTAACTTCACAACCAAAACACAGAAAATGCAGAGGCACTTTCTCTTTCCTTCCTTTCTTCCTACAGCCCATCTGTAAGAGAAGTGCAAAATAATTACGTTTTCTGACAGCTGAGTACAAGGTAGCATCCAAGTTAAGTCGACACAGGTTTCAGCTAAAGCTTTGGAACAGCAGCTCTGCAGGCTGATACTGGTTTGTAATTCTGACACGCCTCCAGAAGAGAGGCTGCTGTGCAGCTACCTATGACTTGTCCAGAAGTAGTAGTTCCCTCCCTTTCTAGATCATCACTTTTACTGTTCAAGCTACGGAGGTAGTAAAACAAAAAAATAAAATACAGTAAAAAAAATAAAAGAAAAAGAAACCACACTCTTGCCATACTGTACATTCAGAACCCTGTGGCCACATTGTTGTCCTAACAATGAACAAATTTTTTAAAAAAACCTCAACATTAACACACAGACGTGCAAGGAGCACGTTCCAACGCCAGTGCCGTGTTCGCCCACAGGGAGGGGAAGGGGACTCTGTGAATCATCGGGAACAGAGAAAGGTTGTTTCTGGCAGCCTGCATGCTAACGTAAACAGGATCCGTTGCTCCTTTTACAGTTCTGTGCCAACAGAACTACCGAAATGTCATTTCCCACCACAGGAGACGCTTCTGTAATCATTAAAAAATACATTTAAAAAAGGGAACCATAGAGCAAGAGACTATCGCGTTCCCAAGCTGGCAGCTGGCAGAGTAGCCCCCGTGTTTGCATTGGCATTTTGCTCCAGATGTTGTCTTCCTTTCCTCAAAGCGAAAAACTGAGGCTGACAGATGCTCTTCGGTTGCCAGAGCCTCAATTTAGCTTCATTTGGTTGCCAAAGGAGCATGTTGCTGTAGTTGTGCTTCAAAGGTCCACTTCAACTTGGCTGCTCCTCAGTTAGCAAACTGCTGATAAAAGGCAAGTTTGACCCTCTCGATATGATGGCAAAGTTTAATAGCTGGCCCAAGTTTCAAGTCCATACACTCCTGAACAGTGGGCAAAGTGAGCAGCAGCAGTGCCTGGCCGTCAATCTCCTGTCAGGAGACAAACACATTAACAGGCATAGTGACTCACATCTTTATTTCCCCTGTTCCTATGGTTTTGACTTGCTGTTACTTCAGATTCGTGACCGTCTGGGTGGTAGCCGTTTCTCCCACGCTACTTCAGGTAGCTTAAAATTTGCTACCTGGAAGGAGAAATTTATCTCCTTGCTTAAAATTTCAGCTCAAGTTCACTGGCTAATGGACAGAACCTCCCGAGACGCTATTAGGTTTTTAATCAACCTAACAATAGAAAGCAAGGAAGTTTTGTGCCAAAAGTCATTCTACCCAACCTCTGCATCTTTGTAATCCTAGTAATGCGGTCTTGGCAGGCAACGTGTTTTAGGGCAAATTCTAACCAAGACGCAAGCATAATATTAAAATCGACTCATGTTTGTAGTCTATTTGTCATACTTTCTCGAATGCAGAGTTGTTCACTTGTGCAGCTGCACGACGCTAGGTGATAGCTGCAATTGGCCTGCAGAATAGACAGTGTTTATCGTTTAGAGAAGAAGTCAATACAAGCGGTAAAATGGTGTTCCCTCCTAGAAGACAAGCTGCTGCCTCCGTGCTGCATGGTTGTAGGCATTCCCTACCCAGACTTGGGAATTCTGATACCCCACAGACCAAAACCTCCCCCAGTGAATTCCAGGAAACCTGAAGAATTCTGGCCATTCCCTTACCCTTCCTCTCCCAAACTGTAGAAGACTGTGCATGTGTTTTTCTCAAAACTTTATTATATAATTAAAACTAGCTTCATTTGTGATTCACTCGACAGAGGATAAGCAGCAAAGTAATAGACTGAAGAACTTGACAGATGCATTATCATACCTGATCGAGGAAAATTCTTGCCAACGGGGCACAGTCAGTAGACTTGAGGAACCGTACAACATCAGACACGCTCCACTCCAGAGGGTTACTGTCTAGCTGCAGCTTTTCAGCAACTTCAATTTTTATTTCCTAAGAAAGTCACCCACCACAAAAAGAAATCCCAAAATGTTACTCGTGTGATGGCTCAAGGCTCCCCTCTGCTTCCCCATACTTACAATACTCCGTTGCCAAACAAAGCTCTAATGAGAGCTCAAAAGCATACACGTTTATTAATTGGCACAGATATGCAGCACAGCACTGTGCTGGGGATGGAGGCTACATCGTTATGGTCAGTAAGGAGGGATCTCAAACCAGGACTCAGTCTGCACCACCGTATAGTCGAGCCAAGAGGAGTGCTCATTACAGTCCTGTAGTTTGACTATATCATGATTTTTAATTATCCAGTAATGTCTTCACAACACCCTTTATGGGATAATGGAGTATGTTATAAAAACACACGTATGATGGTTAATACTCCCAAGGTATTTGTGTTTGCCCAACACTCAGCAAGCCCAGGCACAAATCTATCTTTGGAATTACCTTTGGTGAAGGAGGTTTATTTTCATCATCAGAAAAGGAAAAGGTCCTGAGCTTCCTCTTCCGCTTGTCTCGGTCCTGAGCCAGGGAATGAGACAGTTCGCTCTGCGTAGGAGAGGATGACAGAGATTTCTTCTCCGACACTTCTGACTCCTCAAGCAATTCGTCCTGCTGCTCTGAGGTACTATCCTCAGTCAGAGATTCTTCATCAACCTCATCCTGGTCATCTTCCTCTTCTCCCCCACTGCCCTGAAGGGGTAGAGAAAAAAAAAAAACACAAACAACCCTGCTTTTAATTTAAGTTACTCCAAGATCACACACCACATCTGTTAAAGTTGCTGACAGCCTCATACCTGGGGAGATCCAGCTGGAGTGTTATCCACTGAAGTAGAGGAACGCTTTTTCTTATGAACAAAGAAATGTTTTCGCCTCTTCCGCCTTTTATTTGGCTTCTTCATGGCTACTTCCAGGTTACTGTGGCCACCCGGTGGCCTACCTATCCGCTTGTTTTTCCGCTTTCCATAATAGTGTGCTACCAGGACAGAAAAAAGGAGCATCATAGTGAAACGCACCTTCATTGTCACTTTTTATGTCTGTAAGTGATCGAGACTGGAAAATCAGTAGCAGGATCAGCCATCTACTCACTGTATTTAGTCTTCGTTAGGACGGAGCAGTTCTCCGAGCACTTATCCAGCACCATCTGAGGACCGAAGAGGTTTGGACAACATTCCAGTTTGATGCACGTCTTTCTGCAGAAATCTGCCACTCGGTCTGCTGTCCTCACAACTTCCACAGTTGCACGGTAACTCTTCCCTTTGTACCTAATAGTGAAAATGTAGTCATAATCCAGCAGTTCCCTCAAATACCAGGATAAAAGTACTTCACTAAACCTGTATAAGAACATTACTTTAAAGATAAACTTTGGGGAAAACTTGAGCAGTGAGGAAGTCTATGGACTGACAATTCCAGGAAACAGGTAGTCTTCCTCCCTTAAAAATCTCTTTTAACAGATCCTCAAGCAAAGGAAAAAGCCAGCACCAAAGGGATGCCTGCAGTACCAGTCTTTATGGGACTGCAGAAGTGCCTACTTGTCACATGGACAGCTGCTCCCTAAAACCCCAGACTGAGACCATTAATTCATGCTAGAGGCCAAACAACAGCTAAGAAAAGGTAACAAGCAGACATCCTCCAGCGAGCACACGCTACGTGCCTGCTATGCACATACCGCAGCAAATAAACGAACAACGGTCACATTCCTCATCAGCTTTCATCTAACTGCTGAACTACTGGTCAGGACAGTCACTTGCCATGACTCCACATATGGTTCTTGTTTGACTTTAAAGTAGGAAATGGCACTTTCTTTCTGTCCGTCAGCCTTGCAATGACACTAACAGAGCAGCACCGTGAAATATCTGCCTGAGTCATGCAGCATTTCTACTCTTTGTTCTCCCAGCACAGCTACTGGCACGTGCCGGTATCTACGAAGGATGTCTCAAGTCTGAAAATTTCCAGCTAACGCACTGAAAAATATTCCAGCTACGTTCTCATCGTCCAAGAAGCTCTGACCTCACTGCTGTGATAGAAGAACGCACGCAGCAGTTTCAGTGAAACCGAAAGATTTTTCCCCCCCTATTCTTCGGCTATGTCTTTTATTTACATTAAGTTCTCTTATGACCTTCCCATCATGCAAATCCAAATACAGGGTAATCCTTTGATGCATGGGAAGATGTCATTTTGCACATGAAGCTGAGCCAATAAAAAAAAATTACTGGCTCGCTCAAGACAACGTAGTAAAGTCTGTGCTATAGCACACTGGGGAAAAAAATTAATCTCTAGTAAGCAAATACACTACTCCATACAGGAGCATCTCGATTTATCAAATCTTTACAAATATGATCACCATTTTTCCCTAGCCACAGAATGGTCTTGCAAAGAAACTCCTACCCAAAAGGCTCAGGGGAAGAACTAGGGAGCGCTTTAGACTGTTGCAGAAAGCGACTTCTGTGCCAGGTTATCTCAGAGCCTTGCTGCAACTTAATTTCAGAGGAATCTTCTTCCACTAATGGAAATGCCAAGGAGATCCGAGGAGCTTCCTAAGCAGCACGTGCTTCTGTTTTAAAATACTGACGCTTATCTTCAACAATTAAATTTCTCAAGCTTCATCGGCTGGTCTGCCAGTAGATATGCTGTTGTACTAGTACCACACCATTCATACTTCACCAGTACCGGGATCAGAGCACACCCGATATATTAAGGAGTATCAAAATCAGATATATTTCACTAGATGTTCATAAAGGACTTTATAAAGATTTGGAAGCTTAGTCTGGCAGCATCTTCATATGCTATAGGCATTTCTTCTCCTATCTGAAACGTAACAAGTTAAAGCACAGACTGCAGACAACATTACTACTGAGATCAACTGAGTGAGGAACAGGACAAGGATTTACTTGGCTTTCAGGGTTTCTCCATGCCCATGCCACGCAGCCTCTTCATCCAGCTGAAGTTCTCGAAGGACACGGCTGGGTTTGTAAGCTGCATTGATCAACAGAGTGAGAACCTAAGGGGGCGGGAGCGGGGAACAGGAGAAAACATGTTTAGGTTATCTGTACAATAAATCTTTTTTAAAGTGGTAGGGTTGGAAGAGCAAATTATTTCTATTCATCTGAAATAGCCAGCATCAAAGCTCTCATTCATAGCAGGATTACAGACACTGCCCAATACTGCCAAAATGAAAACTGAGAACGGACAACACTTAGAGCCTTGCCAAACCTTCAGAATTTGACTGCAGAGACATGCGTGTACCCAGTAAATCCCCATCCTTGCCCTTGTATTACCTGTCACTAAATTAAACTGCAGGGCAGGATACTGCAAAACTTGCATAACCTTGGGTAAATCTCAGTTATTATCTTGAGACTGTCTAACATGCAAACAACTGCTGCAGGATTTTGCTGCCTACAAATCCACTACTTGCTACCAAAAAATCATACTCCAAAATCTTAAGCTCTCCTCTGTTTTACTTTCATGGTATTGCCTGTAGGAGAATAAAATCAGAATTCGTCTGTTACTGTAAAATAAATCAAAGTTCTGAGTTTAGTGGAGGATAGGACAAAATTTGCATCCAAAATACATTTTTTATTTTTAGGATAAGCTTATCCCAAATCATTCCCAATTTGTGTGCAACTTCAACATGCCAGACCCACAGCTTCAGTCCTCCTAATGCAGCAGTCCAGAGTTCTACAACTCCAGTAAAGAGTACTAAATATAATGCAAGTATCAAACTCACTCTAGAATTTGTACATGTGGTTATAGCCATTACTGAAATGAATTCAACTAAGCATAGGGGATTGAACTTTTAGCAATACTCTGCATCTGGACATCACTGGGATTTGTGCATACTTTATGCTTCAGCTGGTAAACAAGGTAAGTCTTCTCGACGATTAAATGAAGCTGCCACAGAATTTCGCGCTTGCTCTTTTGGAGCGCTGCAAAGCTCAAAACCAGCTTACATCAGAGTACTGAGGTTTGCAGAAAGGATGGGGAAAAAACACGGTGGCATTCACTCAGTTCTTGCTCTATGAGGGAAAGACTGTACCCATGTATAGCATCCTACACGGGAAAGGATATTCAGCACTTGCAATTGGACATGCCATGAGAGCAAACAAGAACAGCCGCTCCAAAGGAGGACTGCAAGAGCACCTTCTGATGCCAGATCACGTTTAAGGACTGAAGATACTGCTTGCTAGAGAACCTATTTTTCCCCTTGTCAAGAACTGCAAGAACTGTTGCTTGAAAAATAACAAGTGACATTTAAGTTGTAATAAAGGTCCTTAGGTACAGGTTATATTAGCTGCAGCTTCCTCTCAGAATACAGATTCGCCATGGCAGATCAAACCACTGTTTCTTGAAATCCAGGTTTTCATCTTAGCAGCCACTCGTGCCGTACATTTCCAAAGACGGCAAATCACTCCTCCGTATTCCATATTCCACTATGCCATCTTCCATGCCCTAATGCCATCAGTCTCAAGTATACAGTCCTTATCCCATATAGCTGCAAGTTTAAGCCTGGTTTTAATTCACCTATCTAAAATTCCAGTTAAGTCGTTGAACAGCGACATATTCTCTGCGTTAAGCAAGGCACGGTAGCAGATTTGCACATAAGGGATACATCTTAAAGCCAGATTTCCCCTCCAACTTGGGGATGCAATACAGTCTTTTCCAGAGTCCTGGACCACCTGTGCCCACCATCCAATTGACTAGGTTTGAGCAAGCTTTATCCAATGATAAAGCTTACTTGAACGTACTTAATGAGCCAAGCAGACGGTACAGGTCTGCTTAACAATTCACAATTGCATCCTGATATCTCCAAGTGCTGATGGATCAAGCACATGTTTGTATGAGGCAGTGTAGATAAATGATTTAATCAACATTACGGGCATGTCAAAATACAGACTTTAATTTTTCAGTCAGATATTTGAAGATTAAAACCAAGGTACAGATCTTACTCAAATGTACAGCCATGTGTGTGCTGGTATGAGACATGCAAACCTCTACACACAGGACAAAAAATGAACATGCACTCCCTCAGATGCTAAAACAGTGGAAGCTCATCACCTGACTAAGGAAGGGATGACCATGGGTTTTTGTTTGATTGAGGGTTTTTTTTGTTGTTTTTTTTGACTTCTACTACATTTGCAGGGTGGGAGGCGGTTGAGGGTAGAAGAGAGAAAGCAAGCTAGTTTTCTGTATGCAAAAATTGAGCTTTTTCAATAATCAGCTTAAAGACAGCTAGCTGTCAGAGATAAACTCTTGTTTTATAGCACGGCTGCCAGAAAGTCTTTCTGTCTCTCCGGTAAGAATTACTGGAATTCTTTTCTGGTTGTTAGGTTACATGGTAGGGAAGGTAAAAATTGCAGCGATGTTAAGCCAATTCCAGCATTTAAAGCAATCATTTTGTGACAGCTTAAGTGTGCACGCATAGTTGTGCCTCGGGAAACATTCAGCTTCTCAGCTCGGATAATAACTGCACCATGACCTTTTTGGAGATGTCAGAAAATAACGGTTGCATAAAAGCATTTGTAAATTTGCTATAAAACACTTTCTGGAGTTTAGCATTAAAAGATGGCCTCTTCTCCCCTCTTCCCCTTCCTCAGTTATGTTAGAAAGCAAAACTATGGTTTTGTCTGATCTTTACAAATCATATCCAATTTATACTGGCCATAAAACTTATAGTGTTCTTTTAATTAATTTCCCACTGGCTGAAAACAGTTTTCCATTTCTCCTAAGACCAACTATTTCCTCTGTTCTAACAACAGCATAGCAAACTGCAAAGGAAAGCTTTTGGGATTACCTGAAACTACACTCCATTAATTAAAAATGATGCCCATAGTGCAGCTATAAAAAGAAACCAACTCCTTCAGTTGCAGTAATTATGAGTTACTCTTTGTTTTAGGTTAAAATAGCAGTTGAAGGCCGACTATAAATGATAGAATAGAGACTTCTACTCCGCTGCCAGTCATTCCTAAAAGAGTGTATGATTTACACTTCATTTTAAACAAAAACAGAACTCTCTCTGTTCATCAGCAATTTCTGAATCCCTTAAATTTATTAATTACCCACTTGTAATTGCATGGGTGGTCTAGAGTTAACCACACACTGCTATAAACAGATCCACCACGTACAAGGACCTTACCTCTTTCAGAACAAGCACGCAGTTCCCAGGTCCCACGGACTGAGGGAGCTCGGCAATCCTGCCTTTGTTAAGGTAAGGCCCCGAGAAGCACCGGTGGTTGAAGTAGATCTTTGGGCAGCAGTACTTGCCATTAATTACCACTGAGGAATGAGAAAGTGAAGATTTAAATCACAACCTCCACGGCAAAGAATGACTTCTCGCAATGCTTATTTTTTTGCCTGCTTTAAAAAAGGAGCTGAAAAAAAGAAATACTTAAGTCACATGAATTTGGAGAGTTCAGCAGTCACATTTGCAATGACACCGCCAGTTTTTCAGCGTTGCCCCTAGGGACTAGAAAACACTGGAAACCGACCAAGTCATCCCCATGGAGATTTTATAGGCTGTTCAGAAAGGACAGAAGCAAGCTAGACCTTTCAGCTTTGCAAGGGAAATGACCTGGACCTATATGATACACTGTCAGGGAGGTTAACACAGACAAAGGAACAGGCAAACATGACTTTTTGCCAGTTTAATCCTTTTGCATAAATGGAGAGGCAAAGTTGCTTTGTCATAAAGGTAGGTTAGTCTTGTTCAGAGGCAGTCTTGGTCAAAGGGATGAGGCAGCTGACTTACGAGGCGCGGAAAAGGCTGGGACTCTGTTTTGGAGAGAAGGCGGTGAAAGAGGATACGCTCAAACTTAACGGACTCAAGAAGATGGAAGGTAAGATACTCAACCACAGCCCATAATACCACAACTAGAGGAAACCCACTAAATTTGCTGGGATTTTTTCCCCCCCTCTTTTATTTTATTTGTTTAAGTACTCCTTTACGTAGAAGAGAATGAATTGCTAGAACGTGGTACCACAGACAGTTGTGAAGGCAGACTGTACCAGCAGGATCAAAGAGAGAGGAGAGAATTCACCGATAACGTCCATAAACTAAGAGTAAAGGGACTACGCAAGCATCGACCATCCAACATCCCTATGGCAACGACTGCAAAAAGTTGGGGAATATAAACGGAATAGACCACGAAAGAGGACCAGCTTTATGCGCTCTCTCTAAACAGCTCCTCCTCTTGCCGTTAACGGAGGCAGAGTCCAGGACTAGACAGATCACTCATGATACAGGAGGACATTTCTATGTTCTCTTCGAGAAGATGATTTCAGACACATTAAATTAGGTTTCCCAGAAGAAAAGGATTTTAAAGGTAAACAGACTGACTGAACTGACACAGAAGGACCACTGACATAAGAACAGAGAAGCAGCCTAAATCTGGCCAGGCTACAGGGTCCCCCAACACCAAACACAAGACCCAAAGGGGCGACCTCAATAGATAGAGGCCTATAATGCAGAGGACCACACAATTGAGGCCCGCTTCAAACAGAAGGCTGGACAAGATGATCTCCAAGGTCCCTCCCAATCAACATTTTTGCAAGCTTTCAGTTACCTTCTTTCAAGCTAGGAAAGTAGGGAAGCATGAGCCTCACTGAAAACCTTTTCTGAAGAAATTATGTGCAATTTGTCTGGTGAGAAAAACGATGATTTATATTATTCTTTGCTTCCAAACCTGGCCATTAAAAGTCCTTGACCCGTGTCTTTTTCGGGAGGAAAAAAAACTAGGGGGAAAATGAAGTGAATTAGGACAAAGAAGAAATTAAAACATATTATCTAAAAAAACACGTATGTCAGTCGCCACCATCTTAAACGTTTTCAGAGGTTTCATAGCTCGGCAATGCCAGTTAACTTGGATTAATATATAGGACAAATGAAATTGGTAGGCCTACTCCAAACGTACACTAGCAAGTGGCTCTCACTTGTGGATACAACTACATGTCAGCCAAAAAAATCTCAATCTAAAGTTTGCATCTACATCTTCCTCTGCTAAGTGAGATTTTAACAAATAATCACCTGAATGGTCGAGTTCAAAAGAAAGTGAAACCATAACAAACAAAGTTGGTTGCTAATCAGGAAAGAAGCCTTTTTTCCTGGCTAGTCTGATGCTTTATGGTACTACACCATGAAGAACAGGCAGAAAGACAACCCTCCCAACTATTTGGTAGCAGAGGCACTTCCTACACACTACTTCCACACAAAATTTCCAGGCAAGTAATCATATCTCCCCCAAACTTCTGTTGTCACAGAAGCTGGCAAAGTTACCCTCCGCTGTTCATCCTTAACTGCAATATCACACTGATTCACGTTTTTACACTTTTTCCACCTTGATAGCAAAAAGATACAGCAATTGATGAAGCAACCTTTGTTTGTAGCTTACGTTAAGCTCATTAGATCTATTAAATGGTTCAATGCTGCTCAAAATTTAAGTTCTTTGTACTTAAAGCGCTGTAAGATACTTATGTATAAAAACAAAATTGTTTACTCCAACAGGGTTGTAGTTTTGACTGAGCAACACTATCATTTAAAGACCTTAATTTCAGTAGTTGATAACGGGCAGATAAATAAATGAAGTCATATTTACATTACGACTCTATTAAAAATCAATTAAAATGCAAAACAAGCACTAATCATTTGCCTACAGCTTATATGTGGTGCAGCTTCAGATGTGCATTTCACTGAACAGAAAAACAGCAGAAGAGGCATTTAGTTGCCAAACAAATAGATCTGTATGGCTGTTTCACCAGCAGATGTACTTATTCGTCATACTCACTCTTGCAACAGTTTAGAAAATTATTAGATTCTGCCATCTGGCACACAAAGCAGTTTACTGTTTGAGTTGCCTTTGTTTATCATGATGAGAAAGCTATCACAAAAAGCAGACAGACCTGCTTCTGAAAGTTACCAACTCAGAGTAGAGGTGTGGAGTGCCTATTATGTTTCTCCTAACATCATTAAACATCGTAGGTGACAAAGATCACCTGCATGGGTCACAGTAAACATCTGGTTGCATATATCCACTGCTGGTCGGGAGGAGAAGGTTTGGCATAAAAAAAAAATAAAAAAAAATCAAATTTCCAGAGTTAATGCATGTTTCATTTGCTGGACACACAAAAGGAGTGGGGGTATGCTTTTGCTCATTGCATTTGACAAATCATCACGGATGGAAACCCTCAAACCCTTTCCTCCTCTTCTCCCAATACAAGAAATTGTTGAGCAGCTGAATGATGACGCATTCACTCAGAGGATTTTGTTTTTGTCACCCCCAGCCTCCCAGGTTGATACCTGAGTCAGAAGAGTTCAGCTCCTGGTTCTTTAGTCCATCATGAACTGTCCTTGAAGACAAAATTCTGAAATGGAAAGGAGATGGTTGGGAAAAGGGAAAAAATGGTAAGGATATTCACCCTGGAGTTGCTAAAACCCAGTCGTTAAACCCAACAATTTTCTCAACTCCAGGTCCAGCCATATTAATTTGCTTTTTAACGGCCCCTGCTCTGTAATGTTCTTCATCTCTATTCTGACTTTTTTTTTCCCCCCCATACACAGACTGTCATTTTCAATTTGGATATGACTACTGTACTGACACAGCTAGCACTGGTCTTTCCTTGCTTGAAGTATATGGGCCTGCATGCAGATAATTAAGTCATACAAAGCTAACTACAATAGTTTATAGAGTCTATCTCCTTTAATTTCATTTCACTGCACAAAGCAACACTTGTCTTACCTTACACGTTTTGAAAAACCGTGGATTTAAAATCAAACACAACCAAAATGACTCAAGTACTCTAATAAAAACCCCAATTACCAAAACACGGAAGAACAGTCTGCTCAGTATTTTAGGAGCAGTGAAAACATTGGCAGGACTACTCCTAGATCTGATATTTATAACGCTATACAAGTCAATAAAGCCAACTGTCAGGCAATCAATCTACTGAGCGTTTTTTGAGCAGGCTCACATGGAGGAGTCTCACACGTGATACAAAGTTTGTAGATTAACCGTAGATAGTACTATAACTATTTTTTCCTTCTTTTTCCCTTTTGGCCAGTCTGTTTTTGTAACAGCTCTGGAGGGAGATGTACCTCGACTGAATAGCAGTACTCACGCTAAAGCTGAAATTTCTGATCAAACTGTGCAAAACTACAGCCACACATTAGCGCAGCTGTATTTCTAAATTATAGAACCTGTATTATTTGAAAAAGGAATATAACCCAAAGGGAGACAACAAAATTCCAGCAATTTTCCCTATTACGATAACCTCCTTTAAAAAAAAAAAAAAAAGCTCAAGCACATATTAATAAACACATACTTAAGAGTGGGCTAGTTTTTTCTTAAGGGTACTACAATGTGCACAGATAATGCAATCCTTTAAAAATAAAAGGACGATTACAGTCCCAGATCCTCAATGACTTGAGCTATTTAATAACTCAGTCGAGGTTCACTAACATTGTTTAAAATCCAAATTCCACCCTTATTGCATCCTTTTTCATTGACGCAAGACGTGTTTTTCCTCCACCAACAGGAGCTACAGGCGTTAAGACAAACGGGCTGTGGAACCTCTCGAGCCTCAGTACCACACTTCCACAAAGCTAAACTAAGTCAGCATGATTGACCAAGTAGAAAAAAAAAAAAACTTGTTACTTACTGTTTCTCTGGTTGAACTACTGCAATTTTTTTCTGCTTGTTTACTAAAAAGAAGGAGAAGAAAATAGAGATCACTAAGTACAGGAGGCAAGCAAATGAAACTTCCATTACAAAATACTTACTAGATATTTCCTCTAAGTTACGTGGCAAAAAGAATCTGCGTGCAAAGTCACTGCAATTGCTAAAGAGCTGACCCACCTGCACCCTAGAAGCAACTTGGCCCAAATAATTTGAAGTGATGCGAAGGATTTGGCACACAACTTTCACTAAAAATTAATTAAGAGAGACATTCTTATCCCCAGCCTGCTGAAATCTCACCTTCTCTGCATCTTTTGCATCCTATCTCCCTTAAACTATCTGTAATAACAGCCAAATAGGAATTATTACGGCTTCCTTTCTGACACCCAAAGCTGCTGCAGTATTGAGCAAGTTCACAGGCCTAACTTGCCAGCTACACGGCACTAGGAAGTTCGACACTGTTTAACTTGGAAGCTGCATGACTCACCTTGACTTGCAGTAAAGGACGGCTCGTTCCAATCTAATCACATCTAATAGGCCTTCAGGAAGTTCTTCAGTTTTTCCATCTCCATTAAACTTTAGTGATTAGAGCTCTCTAGCCCTCTCAGAGAAGACACTATTTTACACTACTGACTAGTGTAATTAAAATAGATAGGATTTACTTTTCAACATTTTATCAGTAAGGGATTATGACCATCTGGCCCATTTAGAAAGCCAGCCCCTTATTTCAAATCCAAAATATATACATGCTCAGCACCGTTTTGTTGCTGCATAGTTTTACTTGCACAACCAAGTATAAAATCAACATCAGAGCCAGGCAGACACACAGCAAGAACAGCTCAGACACTTGAAAGTAGATGCATGTGCATATATATATATATATATGTATACACACACACAAAATACGTCAATATATGATTTCTTCAATTTCAAACCGATTTCTTTATTGTGGCTAATGCATTGCTCCCACGACCTCTTACAGCACGCAGGCATCTCAAACCAACGCAGCCCGTTTTGGAGTTGTTCTATGGATTCAAACTCTATTAAAGCATCTCTCCCAGGCAGACCAGTGGGGCAAACAGTTGCACAAGGCATGGATTTTCTGTGCAGGCTGAACATTTCCAAATTTAGTGATGACAGAACTAAATTCTGCTGCCGCTGCTCTTGAAGGTCTCACCATCTCTATCAACCCAGCTAACTATAACAAACAGAACAGAACTGATACCTATTGCTCTGCGAGGAGGTCTGAGCTGATATCCATTCGTCTCACACCAACCCACTGGAAATATATTCATTGATTCCACGCTCACTATACAGTCAGGAACGGGCTTTTTGGAGCCTGTTTTGTTAAGAGAAGCAAAAATTGAAACAAATAATAAAATCTCACTTGATTAATGCTTGCTCTCCGTTTGCCAGCAAAGCTGCTTTTGCTCAAGGTGCCTCTGAAATACAACATCGATTGTTTACTCATCCCCTTTTACTGACCAGATTCTTTCCTGATCTCATTTGTTTCCTCCTAAAGGCCGGAGATGGGAATTCACCATCCATAGTTAGTTAGATGCACATAGTGTGTGGTAAGTGCATGTTGATGTACTTTCATTTAAAAAGAAATTGGATTGTAACGGAAAACACCTGATACAGGCCTATTCCATCTTGCTGAAGAACATCTCTAAAAGTTCTCTTCCTAGGTTTGATCAAAACTTGGCTTAGGATGGAAGTCACTCTGTTGTAAAAGTGTTACAAGGCCCTTGCTCTATAAAAGACGCTGATTAGCCCTACATATAGTGCATTAGCTTAGGACTGACACATTGCTTTACATAATTTTTGCTTGGTTTAAAGAAGCACTGCTATCCAAGTTTAACTGGGAAATGGATAATTTCAGTGGGCTTTGCTGTGTTTTTATTACAGGAAATGGTGATTTGCTGGCCATATTTAGCGGATAGTGAGTTTGTTGCAGACAATCTTCAGGATGGATGACGATATTACTGAATCAACAGTGTAAGTGTTAATATCCTCTCCTAAGTCAGGCTTACCCTCCAGCTGAAGCCAGAGGTAGGAACCTTTCAGCTTGGTGACTGTAGCAATGCAGACTTCCTCAGGATCAACTGGGTTCACAGCCTCAAGTTTCATATTCTCTTTAAATCCATGGTCAGAAGTGAACTAGGAAAAAGATAGAATACTTCAGTAAAATACCATCTGTATTTCCTGTATAAGATATGAATAGCCATAAACAGGAATAACACACAGAAGCTTCAGTATCTGAATATCATAGGGTAATTTGACTACAGAAGGATACTCGAGCAGTCACAGAAGACTCCAGGTGATTAGCATATTGAATGCAAATAAGCTATACTACAAGTCACAAAATTTAAGTTAAGGAGGAAAAAAAAAAAAAAGCCTCTATAGACAGAACTAGAAGACGACACGCTGGTACTCAAAAACGAGGAGGCTGAGACTCACTGGAAGGACAGAGTCCATTCTGTGCAACCAATGAATTCCCCCTCAGTTGCTATTAAAGTGATGAGTCTGACCAGGCTCCCTGCTCTGTCACGTTAGCTTGGAAATACATTTCAAATATGCAAATAACATTCCTTCTTCATCCAAGTGAGGCAGACAGCAAAGGAAGCTATCTTTCTTTGGATAAGTAGGATTGCACTTCGTGACCCAATTTAGTTCACATTTATCTAAAAACTTCTAACACATAAGAATGGAGATTTAGCCAGGTCTGAAGTGCCTGGATTACAGATGACAAGTGACAGCCAAACAAAGTACTCTTCCTCCAAGATCCACTCCTGCAACATCATTACAAAAATCAATACATTAAGACTTCCAGAACTAACCTACAGCGATCAGCTCTTCTCAGGAAAGAGATAATAAATTCAGTGACCTGTTCTGAGAGGCCACAGCTGACAAGACAGAAAAGGGGCAACAAGAACTCATAGCCAGCAACACCATCTTCAAAAATAGGTAATTATTCCTTTTGATTTCTTCCCCTAAGCACGGCAGTAGCTCTTGTATTGTAAATGTAGTTGGAAGGGAGGCTTCAACAGTATCATCTTCTGCTTGACAAGGTACAATACGATAGTATTGTACTGTACTGTATCAACAAAAGCCCAAAACCCAGCAAGTACTTCAGGTACTTATTAATACAATGATTACCTGGTATTAGTTTAAGACGACTTGGTACTGATTAATACAATGAAAGGAATTTTTCAAGCTAAAAGGAAATAAAGAAAGATGGAGAGAGAACACCGAGCAAGTGAGACAAGGTCTATGAAAGGCCCCGTTTCCACAATTATACGAGCGCCAAGGAATTATGTTATTTTATGGTGATTCCATGGACTCTTACTCATCTCGTCTTCACAAACTACCCATTTCTTTTCAATTTACACTATTACAACTGCAGCATTTGGTCTATCCCCTATTTATGTAGGAAGTTGGCATTAACCTACTTCAGTTCACCCTTATTTCCACTCTCCAAACTCCGTTTCATCAGTTATCAGAGGTAATTTAAGTCAAAAGCGCGCAAACAATTCTTCACGCTGTCAATCACGTAACGGAGGGAAAGGACATTTTTCTGCAAGAACCTTACCAAAGGAAAGCAGCTCTGGGGAGCTGCCTCAGCACCACATTGTTTGAGGTAGTCTGCCCAATCAAAGTCCTGCCCAGGATAACCTAGGCAAAAAAACAAGCAAAGGGGTTAATTTAACAGCATGAAAACAAACAACTCATTTCAGGCTGACACCAGTGATGATCCCTGCAATGCAAGTGGGTTCGCTCAAGCTTGTCAGCTGACTGTGGCTTCAGTAAGCCACCTGAAGTCAGCCTATAGTGTGGTTCTCTCAAGAGAGCTTACTTTCGCTGCAGAGGGGCTTTCCGCACTGCCCCACCTTGATTCCCATTTTTGGCTCGAAATGGCATCAGACTAAAATGAAGTGTGTTCACAGAGTGCGAGCTGAAGCTTGAATAAAGTACATCTGCTAAGCTGACAACAGCAGCAATTAAAACATGCGGAAGCATTCGCATCCTTTTACAGGGCACAAATGAAATTCTGGCAAAGTTCATTGACTCCACCGATGCAGCGCTAGCTCTAAATCCTCTCATTTACTTTGGATCAGGTTAGGGACCTTTTTTCTTTCTTTTTTTTTTTTTTTTTTAAAGTAAAGGGAGCACCCAAAAGGCACTCAATACCAATATATTACTCTATTAAAGATATCAAATACCGAGCCATTCAAGAGAGCAGTCATTCCGAAGAGGCTAGTCTAGTTTGCTTATAGCTATAAATCTGCATACATGTTTGAATGGAGAAGTCCGAACACGAAGTCATCAGGAGACAGTATCTCTCTCTCCAACAGAGGGACAACAGAGGGATACTTGGAGGAAATATTTCTCTTCCCCATGATTTAACAAATAACTGAAGGGAAATGGGTGGAAAAGAAGTGTGCTGCCACGATAGCCTGCGACTGGCAGTATGTTAGTGAAGGGACAGCTGAAGCAGTTATTCCAGTAGTGACTCAGAAGCACTCCTCTAAAAGGGACTCCCGTGACTAGGGTTTAAGAAATGAAATAAAATTTTAACTAGTCTAAGATTGTAGTATTACCATGACAATCTAATAACACTAAGTTCAGCTTCCCGTAATGGGTAGAGAGGTACCCACAACGGGATCTATTTATTTTTCCCAGTTTTATCAGTATCGTTAGGTGTCTTGAGACCTCACACAATTCAGAAGACCCATCATTTCCAGAAGTACTACCAGAAGAGAAGCTTAAAATCTTTGTCAGCCCTAGTCACATGCCTAGGGAGCTAAATTTCATCTTCTGCATACAAAATTCTACGTAACGCCAGGTCAAGCAAAGCCCCTTCTTATATCTTACGCAAGGAGAGGGAAGGGACAAGCATCCTATGCTCTTTGCTCCTCTGATGACGAGCAGCTAAAACAAAACTTTCCCAGTCCAGTGGGAGTGAATAACGATACTGAGTCCCTGGTTTTACAGTACCATTGACATTTCGATTTTGAGAAAAGGTGTAAATAATTCAGGAGCTGAATATCACTCCCCAGTTCCCTTATGTCCTGAAGCAATGTTTCAGCAATTCGCTACCTTGCCTCACAGTCCTTTGAAAAAAAATAATTCTCTTCTAAGCGATAAGATACCCTAAAAATATTGTAAGGCACTGGGTAGGAACGTTCCATTTTGACCAGAAGCAAAATCTAATGCAATGACTATGGGCTTCTGATATCATGTTAATCAATGCTGAAATCAACATTTGCCTTTGGCTCTGGAGCAGCTCCTTCGTTCGTTCAAACATTCAAATTTTTATCCAAGATCAGCATCCCCAGCCACTGTCATCTTCTCAAATCCAAGGATGCACCCAGGAAACTTCAGCTCCACTCAAAGCTGCTGTTTCTCAAAGTTTGATCTTTCCTGTTCTTTGCTTGTGTTACCACACACAATTCTGCAAAAGCGCTGTCCCAAACATAGTAGTCTGGGGGCTGGCAACCTACTTCCTTCAAGAGGAGCGAGCACGACAAGCTTGCACAAACATACCTAGTGGGGGACTGAGATGCAAGCCATTCTTCAGACTCCATTGCACAGGGAAAATACCAGCACTGTTGACATGACAAATGTAAGACTGGCTGGTTGTGCGTTCTGGTCTCAAGTCATCAATTTCTATCATGAAATATTTTTCATCGTATACCTGTAGTTAGCCAAAAGAGAACCATGTCGTCTTTAAAGTAGCAGATATTGAACTACTTCTCCCTCTCCCCCATTTGGTAAATTTATTAAACAGCAACACTCTAAGTTGTGTAACACCAAATATACAAAAAGGGGTTCATCAAAACACTACATGCCAGGATAACTCATTAAACTACAAAGTTAACAAGCTTAGTCGATAGTAGCAGTAAAGCAGGTGCACTGCATCTTGGCTTTAAAGGTTTTCTCACTACAAATAGGAAAGACAGAACTGTCGTATGGAAAAAGTAGACAAACTGGCGTTTGGGGTTTTATTATTCTGTAAAAGCAAACTGCTTATCTTGACAATGTTTAACTGTGTCCTAGGATAGGCTGTCATTAGCAAAAACACTAAATTCCCGAAGTAACTAGAAGCAGAACAAACATCAAGAAAAATAAATAAGCGTGCTTTGCTTGGAACTGGTTATGTCTTTATAGAAATATATTTGCATCCAATTTGAAGAAGCTGTAGGCTGGAATTTAAAAGAGAGAGATCGCTGAAATGTAACACATCATACTGAGAAAACATTTGTCCAAAAGAAAAGGCAATATTTTCTGGAAAATATATATATATTAAATATATATATATAAGGGAGAAATTTTTCAAAACCTGTTTATGTTGTAGAGTTTTTCTTTCAACTTCCAAATCCATGTGTGGGCCCTTGTTTGAAAATTAGCAACCTAGACACTTCAGAGCTTATACATAATAAATGGCAATAACTTTTGCAAAAACAAAAAACAAAAATCCATCTTCAATCGGATACTTGGATTATGAGAGACTGCGTTTCGTTTTAACAACCTAAGTTTGACAATGTTACCCATTTGGTCTTTCAGCTTGCATCTTAGTAGAACTTTCCCTCTCCTTTTTAACCCAATGTCTTCCCCACCAGCAGTTGTTTTACAGGCACTTCTCTTCCAAGGTTCAAGTATTTCATCTGAAC